CTTTCGCCAACATTTTTTCTGTTTTTTCGCACACACAGGTTTGGCGTGTCTGTCAGTCTATGTAAGGAAAATCTCACAAACTTGTGAATAGATTTCAGTCAAACTTGATACCTTCTGTGATGTGCAAACATGATTACCAATAGTTTTAGGGCCATGACTATGCATACTATTAAGTAGCTATTTTGCATATTAATTTTTTTTTTGCAAGACCGTATATATTTATTGGTTTATTGGTAGAATTAATAATAATATGTATGGTAGTCATGTGGTGCAATTTTATTTTTAACCTGTGTTTCGTAAAGCTCATTAATTTAATTTGAAAGCATTGTTAGAAGTATTATTTAAACCTTGTCATGTGAGATAAAATTGGTATTTCTTCTTATAGATGAACCAACAGAAATGGAAACAGAATCCGAAAATAATAGTTTAGAGAAATCTAAGAAAGGTGTGAAAAGAAAACGTGCTGGTGGTAGTGGTGGTGGCAGCGGCGGCGGTGGTGCATCTGAAGAGAGTCACGCAAAGAGACGATCAGCTCGAGTAAGAAATCCATGCATTAATAACCTGGGTCCTAGGTTACACGTTACCTGATATACTTGTATTCCACTTTTGCACAATACGTTAATGTTGAATTGGTCTATTAGTACCATGTGCTGTACAGTTATCAGACTGGGCAGTGCCTGAGGTCAGACTGTTAGCCATCCATCTGTCTACCTGTCATTTTAGACAAGCACTTCACATTTTAGACAGGTGTAAAATGTCATTTGAGAGGCGAAATCTTTTTTTTTTCAATTTTTTAGCTATAACTCTGCTTGGGGTAAATAAACATATTTTGCTTAAATCAACAACATCCAATGTTTGTGCACATTTGTAAAGATTGTTTAAACAACTAACCCATTAGTGTTTGCGTTAAGAAATTCTGGGCACTTTCATATGCAAAATTACTTATGTCATTTGCTGGTGAGTGTCATCGACTCCTGTCTCAATAATCACACGGGTGATTTCTTTCTATACTGCAGCATGTTTATTAAATTTATCAACATTTTGGGGTACTACATTGTATAATTAAAATAAAACCAAAAGCATAATAAATATTCCAAACCTGTTTTAAGTTTAAAATTTTAAGAGTGTAAACTTTTAGAAATTTTGTGTAAATAAGTAATCTAATAATTCTCTAATTTATTATTACAGGTCAGGAATACTGTGAAGAAAAAAGAAGAGACTGTAAATTATAAAGAATTACTGCGAACATTCTTGCCTTCCAGTTTGAAGTAAGTACTGTTAAACGCCTTAGTTTTTCTCTGGGTTTTAATATTGCTATATTCGCTGATAAGTTAAATCTGCTGAATGAAATCTACATGAACATGTAAAATAATAAAAAGTCGTTGATTGCTTGACAAATTTGTGAAATTTAAACACAGTGAATAAGCTCAAAACATCAAAATAGTGATATTAAATGTCAGTGAAAATAAATGGTTTTACAGTATTCTGTCAATAGTCATTGGGAATATGTAGTTTATTACAGAGGACTTCAATACGCCAACCTCACTTGTGTTTTATTGTAGGTTTTCATGTTTCTTTTGAAAAACAAGAAAAACAAATTTTAGTTTATTATGTAGCAGGATGGTTTGTGTAGTTCAAAACCATTTTGTACATTCTTGACTCGTCTGATGTACCGTATTACCCCGGGCACGCGCCCAGGGGCCTGAACATACAAAATCGGGAAAACTTAGGGGGTGGGCGCTTACCCGAGGACCACCCCAAAAAAGATTTTAAAAAGTTGTTTTTGTGATCGTATGATAAGGTCAAATAAAGGAATGCTTTCGTACACTTTGTACACATACTTATTTCTTGATTTATGCGAGGTTTCAATAAACGTGAGCACTCTGTCAAGAACTGTGGGAACACTAAGACACAGGGTCGAATTTCAAGAATAAAACTTGTTTTATGTCAGCTTTTTTAGTAACCGTGATCAGTGCAAGTCGAAACGGCCGGGAAAAACTACCGCAAGATGGCGATGACCTCATTAGCATAATTTTGTTCACGTGTGTATTGATACATCGCATCGTAATTACTGAAGAATAGCAGACAGGGTTATGAAACAAATAAACCTTTTATTACTGATGTGAAATGTTTACAAACTATTGTGAATACATAAACATATACAAATGGCGATACATAAAAAACAGACTGAAAATAAACTCTGGTCGACCTCATTAACATGATTTATTCACGCACCCACACACGTGACAAAATTATGATGCAACAAGTTCCCATCGTCGGCATGCCTCATTATGGTTATCGTAATGGGCTTGAGGTCGGCAAAATGTTTTTTCTTCAACGACAGAAAAATAATCCACATGACCGTAATGCCATAGCTGTGATGAAGAAAACGAAGACCTTGGAAAACGAAGACCATGGAAAACGAAGACCCTGGAATGTTCCTATGACGCCAATGATACACGAATTCGCCCAATATCGGGCATTTACTTTCATTGTGAACTAACTTCCCGTATGAAATTTTTCATAATAAATTAAATTAACTACTTTTAATTGTGAAATTACAACGTATGGAAAACGAAGACTCTGGAAAATTAAGACACTGGAAAACGAAGACCCTGGAAAACGAAGACCATGGAAAACGAAGACCCTGGAAAACGAGGACCCTGGAAAACGAAGACCCTGGAAAACGAAGACCCTGGAAAACGAAGACCCTGGAAAACGAAGACCATGGAAAACGAAGACCCCGA